AGAAAATTCTTAAAAAACCTTATGACTGTGGTTTTGAACTCTATATCCAGTCATTTGCTTTCCCCCATTCCTTTCATTTGTGATCTGTTTGTCTCTGCATTTTGGCTGCGTCCGAGTTGATAGAGTGGCTTTGTGTGCTAGGTGTCCTGTAGGGCCCAGTGGTTCAGCTTTCTTAGTTACCTGAGGTGGACACTCTTGGTGCACCCCTTTGTGGGCTGTGTGCACAGTCTTGTAGTTAAGCTTTGATTGTTGTTGGTATCACTGGGAGGAATTGACCTCCAGGCTAATTGGCTGTGAGGATCAGCTGTGTCTACACTGGGAGAACTTCTGTGCTGGAGACACCCTTATAGGAGACTTGCAAAAGCCTCTGTGCTCAGCTTGGATGGGCAGTCTCAGGGCGGAGCAGACAGCATTGGTTTCCCATCAGCCCTGCCCTAATAGGCCCCCGTGTCTCAGTGTTTTGTGGTAATCCCTGCAAGCACATCCGAGAGAAATCCGCCCTCCAGTTCTGCCCGCTGCCACAGTCCAGTTTCTCCCTGAATGAGTCTGGGTCCCCAGAGTCTTGCCTGGAACTGGAGTTCAATGCAGTTGGGAGCTTTTGTCTCCCTCCTGCTGAGAAAGCCAGCCGCGCACTCAGTTGCCAGTCCTGTGTGTGTGCATTTCAGTACCTCTGCCTCCTGCAGCTCCTGAGCCTCAGGGCGCTTTTCTCTTTTCTTCTGTGATTCTGGATGATGTCAGTTTTGTCTTTTAGTTGTTTTGAAATTGTGCAAGGCAGTTTAGATGTTTACCTATCCCTCCATCTTGGTTTCTCCCCAAGACACTCTCTAATTTTCTTGTATTTGATTTCTGACCATAATTGTATGAAATTAGAAAAGATGTTTGATGTGACTTAAAACTTCTTAAATTTATTAACACTTGCTTTGTGCCCTAACATATAATCTATTTTAGAAAATCTCCCCTATGCACTTGAGAAGAATGTATATTCTGCTGCTTTTGGATGGAATATTTTGTGCCTGTTACGTCCATCTGGTCTAACATATAATTTAAACTCAATGTTTCCCTATTGGATTTTTATCTAAATCTATCCATTGATGAAAGTGGGAGCTGACATACCTTACTATTATTGTATTGCTGCTGTTAAGATTCCACCTACATCACTCAAATGGAGCACATACACAGCAGTAATGAAGTGAAACAGTAAAAAAAAAAACCCATAAAGCACATATGTACATATGTTGAAATGACATTACTTTTTTTTTTTTTTATATAAATGGAGATGGCGACATAACCACGAAACAATGTATGTTGAATCAATCCGAGGACTGCCTGTATATTAATTCTTTTTCATCTTCAGAATCAATTTTATTCTTTAGGTATAGGAAATTTAATATGCATTAGGTTAATTTAACCTTTTTAAAAAAAATATTTTTATTGACTTCAAAGAGGTAGACAGAGGGAAAGATAGAAACATCAATGAGAGAGAATCATTGATTGGCAGCCTCCTGCACACCCATTAATGGGGATGAGCCTGAAACCTGGGCATGTGCCCTTGACTGGAATTGAACCTGGGACTCTTCAGTCTGCAGGTTGACGCTCTATTCCAAGCCAAACAGGTCAGGGCTAATTTAACCTTTGTATTTTTCACTGAATATGCATAATTTAAGACCTTTTCCTGAGTTTGTTGGTAGATATAAGGTTTAAAACTAGACTAATTATTATACAAAAATTCCGTTAAAATAGTTTAAAAATACTACTTCATTAAAAACTTTCTCTCAAATTAAGCAGCTTTGTAAATGTGCCCCATAGGAAACAATGTAGTATTTCGTTTCCAATGAATGTACTGCAAAGAAAATTTCTGCTTTGAATACTGTCAGAAAACAAAGAATTGACTGGTTCACTCCGGGCTGTCAGCACACCACCTCCCGGACTTGCCCTACGACTATGGTGCCCCAGAGCCTCACACATCAACGCCCGGGTCAGCAGCTGCACCACAGCAAGCACCACGTGGCCTGTGTGAACAGCCTGAACACCAGGGAGGCGAGGAAAAGTACCGGGAGGCACGGAGAAGGGTGACATTACAACTCAAATAACTCTTCAGCCTGCCAGAAGTTCAACAGTGGAGGACGTATCAATCCGCACTTTCTCATCAGACCTGAGCCCTAGTGATGGTGGCGAACCCAAAGGGGAATTGCTGGAAGTCATCAAACGTGACTGGTTCCTTCGCCGCATGTAAGAAGTTAACTGATCACTGTTTCTGCTGGCGTTCAAGGCTCAGGTGGGAGCTGGCCTGGTTTCCATAAGGAACAAAGATGCTTATTGATTGCTGCTTGTTCTAACCAGGATCCCCTCCAATGAACAGGTCTCATCTCATTCTACTTTTGGGAAACGATGTGTGGGAGCATGCTTATTATTTTCAGTATAAAAATATCTGAAAGCTATTTGGAATGTAATCAACTGAGAAAATGTAACTGAGAGATACATGGCTTGCAAAAAGTGTATCAGCATTACAGAAAACTCCTTATGGCTGATTTTGTAGTAGTGCAGAGTAAACATTTTCTTTAGAGCGCTAAAATACCCAAGAGGTTCTGTCATCACAAAGCCACCAAAAGCATCACTTTACTATTGGGGCCCCTATGGAAGCCTTTCTGATCCTGTTCTAGTGCATTTATAGATAATCTAGATTTTCACCCTAGTTGTTTAATAATATTAAATCCCACCCCCCACAAGAAAACAAAAAGAACAATTTAAAGAAAACTTTTACAGTATAAAAGTCATTATACAACAATTTCATTTTATTTTCCTTTATCTTAATCACAGACTTTAAAAATATATATGAAAGATGTTAAAAACTGGAAAACTGAGATGCGTAAGCATCATTAATACCAAAAACAGAAATTCAGAATGGTTTCACATGTCACATATTTAAACGTATCTCATTTTCAAATCTAGCTGCCTGACGGAACGCACTCTGGTCTGCTAGGAATGAATGGTGCGTTCCCCGAAGCCCCTGCACACAGCAATGGGGTTGCTGAGAGAAATGGCATCTTCAGAGGTGCTCTCCTGCGCGAATGTGGCCATTAAAGCCTTGAATTCTGTCAGCCGTCTTTTTAAGACCAATGATACTGATGTGACTGCAGGATACACATCACTCACCGTGACTCGCAGATAGCGCTGGCTTTACAGCTGATTCCACAGGCACATACTTAGGCCAAGTAACAGGATATATAACATTTCCTATTTATTTACTGTTTAAGATGTTTTTCAATTTAATTTGGAATTATACTTACAGGTAGAAGTATACAGGTGCCTGCATCCTTGTTTATGGATTCAGTGTCAGACTGTGAATCACACGCACTTGGCCGTTTTGTACTCTCCTCAGTGCCCAGCACACTGACATTGTCTAGTACAGCAATCAGTAAATATTCACCAGGACTTCTTTAGGCATTCCATTTTAGGATTCTTATAGAGACAAGCCAATTCAAAAAATGTTCTAGGCTTTGAAAATTTAATAAACGAAGGCACTTGCCATTACTGATTATAATTAAAAAAGGTGATGTTAAATTAAGGCTAGAAGTGGTAATTCTGTATGTGACTACATGTGTAAAATGAGATCTAAGAAGGAATTAAGGAATACACTAAAAACAACATGGGTGAGACTATGAAGAATAGGGTTACACTTGAAAATAATTTTTTTCCCCCCTATAAATTGGAGCTATAAAATATAATCCTAATAGGTGTTTGGGAAAACAGAAAATATTTTTTAAATTCAATGACCTCTTTTTTGCTCAATTGAAATTTTTACCATCACATACACCCTAAATTATAATTATTTGATTCTGAACAACCAAGAAATTAAAAGATCTCATTCTTAGATCTATATACTTAATTTTCTTACAAAAATAACTTGTTATTGTGCCAATATTTATCTGAACATGATAGCCTCCAATTAATAATGGGAATGAGCACGTTATCAATGAGTTATAGTGAAAATGCGAAGTTATTTTTCCTGTCTGAATAATTAAGAGAATAGACAAGAGTGAAAAACAACTATGAAGAAAAACTGGCAAATTTAAATGAAGGATACACAACAAAAGAACCCACAAGGCAAAAACAAATATTAGAAAGATGCTTCAAAAGATAATTAGTATCACAGGGAAAACCTTTATGAAAAATATTTAGAAAATAAATTAACACATATCTTTAAAATATAGAACTCTAAATACTTGATATATTTGGGATACTCTACAGTGCCCTGTTAATTGTTGCACATATTTTTTTTCTTCAGTATTCTGGATATGGTAGAAATCTATAGAATTTGCTAACTCACTGTTAGAAAAATTTTTCTCAATTGTGGAAAATTAATTCTTCAACCTTTCAGAAAGAATGAAGAATCTCTTCACTATAATACATCATGAAAATAGGGTATCTGTTTATTTTGCCACATCACATTTTAAGAAAATGAAATATATGATTAAAAATTTTCAGAGAAGTTTTAGAAGAACAGGCGATTGAAATCCAAGTTCTCTTTTTTCAGGCGAGCCACAACACATTAAGTGATAAAGCCCACTTTGTTCCACTTAGACATATACTAGTACACTAGCAGAGCAGACTCATGTTCAAGCCAGCCAGCCCAAACATTTCTAGTAGTCAGCAATCTATGGCTCATGGACTGGATGTGGCTTGTGGTATATTTGTGGATGGCCCTCAACTAAGAGTGGTTTTTACATTTTTCAAAGGGTTGTAAAAGCAAAACAACATATGTGATAAAGAACTGCATATGGTCTATAAAACCTAAAATATTTATGATCTGGCACATTATAGAAAGCTTGCAGACCTTCTTTCATACCAATGTTGTATAGAATTTAGACAGTGCAATTACAAGTCCATATAATGTTCACTTATTCCCACCATGAATGTAGTAACAGTCTAAGAAGAAATCTTCTGATGTCGATGTCATTTGTCAGAATTTCTTTTCAACTTTTTCTTCATCTTCACTATTATTAAAGTTCATCCTTCAACAAAAATATAAAAACAATTGAAAGAGAAAAGAAACGTGAGATTAAAAAAGGGTAAAATAGTATAAGCTAACCAAAATTTTATCTTCTTAAAAATAATTACTCTATATTCTTATTTAATGAGCCCACCCACACAAGAAATGTACCTCTCCTACCTGTAACAATGGTAGAGGAAAGGTTATCATATAGTTCTTACCAAGGCAGATACTATCAATTATAGCTTTATACATTCAAAGTCATATTTTGATGTGCTCTTTACAAGCAGCTGTAAGACTCTGTGTTGGGCTCTGTAGTTCTAATGATTCTACGGAGCCAGGTGTCCCTATTCCTTTCCCAAGGCTGTGCCGTTTCTTCTGCCTTCTCACTGCATAGGAAAGGAATCCAAGAACCCTTATGTGATTGTATTCCTTTCAAAAAGCAATCTAGCATTCCTGGACTCTTTGGTCTAAGTATGTCTTAGAATGACATGATTTAAAGAAGAAAAATAATTAACAGCCCTTGCAAAGAACATCAGGAGAAACGTTGCTTGATAGGTTAAAAATTCAAGGAGAGGCCAGGAGGTTCATGGGTTCCAACACATTCCGACTAAAGAACAAAAGAGTATTTGCTCTCTAAACGTGTCTGTCAGGCGACTCCCGTATATTTATTCCATTCCTAACAAGTCACTGCTTTACTTACATTTGAACAAAATGTAAATAATTTAACCATAATTTCTTAAGTGATTTTACTTGTCTAAATTTCTAAGCATTTCAGTATTTATAGACTACATTCTGATTTTCCAAATAAGAATTTCCAACTACTTTCTATTTTTTGAAGCTTCATTTTCCCTACTTATTTATACATATAAAATATAAAAAGAATAACTTTTAGATAATGTTTGCAAAGTCAGCACTAGACTTAGTTCTTACCTTATTTCTCATTCCATGTTTTTGGAGATTTTCTAATTTTTCATATATTAAAGAAGCAATCTCTTTTGCATCTCTGGAATCTATTTGTTCTCCCCCAATATTTCTCTAAAATTAAAAACACTTTTCTTATAATCTTTTAAGTATCTAATCAAAACATGACATTTATATCCAAGAAACTTGTATAAAATAGTCCTTAAAGTTCCAAGTGTACGAAACTCAAATTTCTTCAAGAAAATAATAATGTTACAAGAGCACAGTTAACCCATTATTTATCTGACATAAATACTACTGATACTTTTATGAGAACATGGAAGAAATGCACTGTTAACTCCAAATGCCTGAAAACATTTAAATTGTATAAGATATGCCCAGAGGACTGAAATCATCCTAATCTAATACAATCTCTGACACAGACAAAACCACGACTAACTACTACAATGGAAAGCAATGCCTGTCTCCTGGCTCTCCTCTGCCCCAGCAGGAAGGTGCTGGGAGGGGACAGAGGAATATGCCCAGTTCTGCTCATGTGGGATCTGGAGCCCCTGTTTCATTCCTCCTGGAGAGAACCCCACAATGATGTTAGGGTTTTGTTTCGTTATATAACTGCCCATCTGGATTTGCATTTCTGTTTATTCCCATCGTTATTCTACTTTGGCCTCCTCATCTAGCCTGGACTTCTGGACCCTGCCTTTCAGTTTGGACAGAGATATTCTGGGTCCTAATCTTCCTCTGGACTCCTCTAGACATATGGTAACATCACATTTTCTCCTTTTTAAAAAATGTGTATCTATAAAAATTTTTATATAAAATATACACACATACATAGAAAAAAATATATATCTATATACTTTTTAAAATTTAAACTCTTTTAAAAGTATTACATGAGTCTGCTTTTTCCCCCATTGACCTCTCCCTGGCTGCTTCACCCCTCTAGCACATGCCCTCACCCCACTACTGTCTATATCCATTGGTTATACTCATGTATGCATACAAGTCCTTTGATCTCTTACTCCCTCACAGCCTACCTTCCCTCATAGGTTGGACAGTCTGTTTGATGCTTCTACGTCTTTGGTTCTATTTTTGTTCAACAGTTTATGTTGTTAATTACACACACACACACACACACACACACACACACACACACACACACTAATTTCAGGGAGGGAGAGAGATAGAGAAACTTCAATGATGAGATAGAATCATGCACGCCTTACACTGGGGATCAAGCCTGCAACTGGAGCATGTGCCCTGACCAGGAATTGAACCGGATCTCCTGGTTCATAGGTGGATGTTCAACCATTGAGCCACCTAAGCCAGGCAATATTTTCAAAGAGGACCCTCTATGGCCTGGTCATTTCTATGATTGGTCATTTCACTGATATTGCTCTAACATCATTTTACATGATGTCACCCACTTCTCAGCTATTCTGAAAATTGGGAAGCAAAGCTAGTGATTCCAAAGGAATGAAGATTCAAGTTCAGGTATAAAACCTTTCCCCCTCAAGTTATGCTTACTTTATGCTGTTCTTAAAATAGAGTTAGCTCTTGGACTAATCAAAATCCTTCACTGAAAAATCTAAATGTCTGACAATCCCAGATTTCTGAAATTCACCATTTATTTATTTAGCACTATTTAAAAATGTATAATTACCAATAAATAACATAAGACCTTAATCAGATATTCTTTCTCAAAAAATATTAAAATTATTTGAAATTATTTCATGTTTTATCAGAAAACATGAATATAGTACAAAGGAAATATTTTATCATAGTTCTAGTGACAAAAATGTCATTCTTTTACTTGGGAAGACAGCAAAGATGAGTCCTTTCAGTCAGCAATTATTCTGGCTAATACACATATATTTTAAAAAATTATTTCTTTTAGAGAAAGAGAGGAGGTGGAGGTAGGGGAAGAGAGAAAAACAAACATCAATTTGTTGTTCGCCTTATTTATGCATTCATTGGCTGATTTTTGTATGTGCCCTAACCAGAGATTGAACCTGCAACCTTGGCATATTGTTACCACATTCTAACCAACTGAGCAACCTGGCCAGGGCCAGACATATGCTTTTGTATTAGTAATCATAGAAGTTATCACCTGAATTTAAATTTTAAGACCCATGGGTTAGATATCTAGTTTGTTGGGGGGAAAAAGAAGTCACTGACATATAAAAGGAATTATGACTGCACCAACTTTTATATCCTAAATCATTCCTTAATAGTCCACAAGATAAACACTGGTACTAAGGTCATTTCAAAAGTATTACAATAGTATACTACCCTTTCCTGGAAAAAAATTAATTATAAAGGTACTATATATGTTAATTCTATAAAAGTAGGGAAATATAAAACTTCACAGAAAATAAATAATTACCTTGAATTCTATCACCCATAGAAAATCATGATTAGTATTTTGGTTTATCTCTTGAGTAATTTTCTATTCATGAGTGTAAAAAATTTTAAGGCAATAGAGATCATAGCAACTGTGAGACACAAAACCTTTTAAAATCATTTAGTGTATATATAAAAGGACCAGGTTTCAATAATCCTATATAATAAAGAGGTAATATGCAAATTGACCATTACTTCAACAAACAAGACGGCCGCACCTATGGGGACACAAGATGGTCACCATAAGATGGCTGACAGGGGATGACAGTTGGGGGGAACCAGGTCTGCAGGGGAGGGCAGTTGGGGGGGGGAACCAGGCCTGCAGGGGAAGGCAGTTGGGGGGACCAGGTCTGCAGGTGGTGGCAGTGGGGGAAACCAGGCCTGCAAGGGGAGGGCAGTTGGTAGGGACCCAGGCCTGCAAGGGAGGGCAGTTGAGGGGGACCAGGATTGAGTGGGACCAGGATGGCAAGGGAGGGCAGTTAGGGGTGACTGGGCCAGTAGGGGAGGCTAGTTCCGGGTGACCGGGCCTGCAGGGGAGGGCAGTTAGGGGCATCGATCAGGCTGGCACGGGAGCAGTTAGGCATCGATTAGGCTGGCAGGCAGAAGCAGTTAGGAGTAATCAGGCAGGCGAGCAGTTGGGAGCCAGCAGTCCTGAATTGTGAGAGTGATGTCCAACTACCCGCTTAGGCCTGATCCCAGTGGTAATTGGGTCTAAATGGACAGTCGGACATCCCCTGAAGGGTCCCAGATTGGAGAGGGTGCAGGCTGGGTTGAGGGATACCTCTCCTCCGTGCACGTATTTCGTATGCAATAAGATAATGACTAATGGAGAAGAAACTAGAAAAGAGCATTACTCAGTCTAAACAAAAAATCTTTTGTGCTTGGCCTGCTAAAGAAAAGGAACATGAAGGAAAAACCTGTACGTACCTTTGCTCTTTCGTAGGGAAAGAATTTAACAGTTGGATAGGCTCTGATACCGGCTTTCTGGCATGTTTGAGCATTGGCCTGACAGTCTACTTTTCCAGCTTTCACTTTTCCTTTAATCATCTGAAAAAAGACAAATATGATTTAATCATTCTCTTTGGCATAAAGTATTTTAGCAACCACAAAGCAATGTGATATTAAAAATTTCAAATCTTTATAAACCTAAGGATTTGTTATTTAAAACATTTCAATCCTTCCCATTCAAATAAGATGGTTCCCAATTCTTACTGGCGCTTTGCATTCCTATTTGTCCAGCACCATGTCTCCAATAGCAATAATTTCTCCTTTACCTTATCAAGAAAACTGAGCTTTGCCCTAAATGACCTCAACTTCTTGGTACCCACACCTGTCTGTCACAGCACAAACATCTCGGACGGTCTTCTCCCTGTCTTTCTCCGGTTTCAGGTGCTGAGGTAGCACTCATCTTGTGGAAGGCTGACTATTCCAGCTACACTCCCCAGTTATCTCACTAACACATCTCTTACTTTCTCTAGTGTATAGACTCCATATACACATCCGATCAAAAAGATTCCTTTCTTAATTGCAGGGAAGAAATTAATTGAAGGAAAAAGGGAACAAGCAGAAGTGAGGCTTCTGGCTATTAAGGTTAGGTAGATAATGCTGACATCTAAGGAGGGGGAGAGAGAGAGAGAAATGAACACTAATTTGTTGTCTCACTTACTTATGCATTCATTGGCTGATTCTTGTATGTGCCCTGACCAGAGATTAAACCTGCAACCTTGGCTACTGGGACAATGCTCTAACCAACTGAGCAACCTGGCCAGAGCCAGGCATATGCTTTTGTATTAATAGTCATATAAGGTATCACCTAAATTTGAATTCGAAGACCCAGGGGGTAGATGTCTAGTTTCTTATTGGAGAAAAAAAAAAAAGTCACTGACCCAAAAACAGAATTAGGTAGAGATGTTGGCTAATTTTTTAAATAAAGAATGACTACTGCAATGATTATAGTTGTAGAAATGGTTTTTAAAATTTAGAGGAAACTTTTAAGAAAAAATAAAAATTGTATTTAAAATGTTTCAGCTAATTCTTAAGACAAGCATGTGATTACAATGTATTTAAGTAGGTAGACAAGACTTACCCTAGCTAAGAGTTCAAACTCTGGAGCAAAATTTTGGCAAGGTCCACACCAAGGAGCATAGAAGTCAACCACCCAATGGTTTTTTCCTTGTAAAACTTTTTCATTGAAGGTCTGAGGTGTAAGATCAATAGATGCTTGAGGCAAAAATCTGAGGCGAAAATCAAAATTATTCTTCATTATACAAAAATCAAAACAAACTTCTAAAATATTATGCTGCAAAAGTCTAAGTTAAAATTGACTTTAAAGAATGACTGTAATAAACCACAACCTTATCTTTGGTAAGTTATAATTTTTTACTAAGTGCTTTAAAACACTAGAATTTTAGACAATTCACAGTAAATTTAATTATAACATAAGAAGGTAAATAATATTAAATCCATTTCATACAATAATATATTTTAGTTACTCACCCTAGACCCCAAATTCTTAGGGAATAGGCATCCCTATTCCAACCATTGTAACTACTGAAAAAAGAAAAATATGTCAGTTGTAAATAGAATTTTTCATTATTGGATATGTTCAGAAAACAATCTCATTGTAGCAATTTAAAGATAAATTTAACCCAATGACTTTATCTAGCATCTCTCTTCTCTGATACACTTAGCTATAAACACTGCTTAAATGGCTTCCCAAATATATTTTTCACTAGTCTTAATGTCTTTTTGTGTTCCAGACAGACCTGAACGTGTAGCTGCTTGCTGGACACCTATAAACTCACAGGAATGACAAAACGAAAAATGTCCAAGGCTTTACTCCAGTTATTACTCTTAAAATTCATACCCATTTTTAAGAGCCACCTCACAAATGCAATATTTCATGATTTTCTCAGTTGTGATTCCTTTCTCCTTTGAAATACATGGTTCATTTTTACTTCTTAAATAATATTTATTATATTTTGCCTTGTGATTTCCAGTTTTCTACCTGAAAAATCATGTGGTATTGTGGAAACACAGGTATTGACACAGACCTGGGTTTCAACTCCAACTTCAAACCTTAGCAGCTGTTGTCTAAGTTAATCTAAGGTCTTTGAATCTGTTTACTTATCTGATAATAGTATAGGAAGGGAAATGTTTTTTTTTTTTTTTTTTCAGGGTATGTGTGAGGATTAGAGGAGATAATGTGAGCAAAGATCTAGTATAGTACCTGAAACTAATTAGGGACTTAATAAAGGTTAGTTCTCTCTCTCCTTATTTCTTCTTTACTAGATTGTCAGCTTCATGAACAGTGTAACTGTTCAGTTCTCTTTTCATTTTCCGAAGTTCTCATTAACACACTATTTTAAGCATGGTGAGCTCCCAAAAAAGTACTTGTGTTAACTTTTATTTAGTCAGGATAACTTTTAAATGTTAACTGTATAAATGATTATAGTAAGTGCCTTAAATTTTTAGACAGTACTTACTGATATTGATAAGCTTTATTTGATTTTGGGGGGAAAAATCTTATCTCAGGATATCTTCTAACATTTTCTTCAGAACAAAAAGAATGATACTGTTGGCAGTCTATGCTGCCCACATTGATTAGTCCAGTTAATGTCTGAAAAAGAAAAAGAGGAGATAAATATATCAAAGTGATTAGAAATTACCTCCACAACTGCTTTATATATATTTGCAATAGAGAAACTATCACTGAGATGATTATTATATTATTTACTAGTATCATTGATTTTTATCAAATAAAAGATATTTTATCAAATAAAAAAATCACTGATACTAGTAAATAATATAACATTTAGAGTAATAAACTGGAAATCTAATTTTGTAGTTAAGAACTCACTACAATTATTGCATATTAAACAAATGATTTCATTCACTTATTATAGAGAAAATAATTAAAAAACACCAATTAATTAATTAGTTAATTAATTTTTAAAATCCTCACTCAATGATGTTTTCCATTGATTTTTAGAGAGAGTGAACAAAGAGGGAAAGACAGAGTGAAATATCGATGTGAGAGGAACACATCGATTGGTTTCCTCCTGTACATGCCCTGATTAGGGCCTGGCCAGGGAGGATCCTGCAACTAGGGTACATGCACTTGACCGGAATTGAATCTGCGACCCTTTTGTCTGTAGGCTGTCGCTCTATCCACTGAGCCTAATAGACCAGGGTGAGAAAATGAAAATGTTTTCTAAAATTCAAAGTGTTAGAAACCAAGAACAAATGAAGGTTTTGGCAATGGTATTTCAGAGTTACTTTTTCTTTTTTTCTTTTTAATATATTTTATTGATTTTTACAGAGAGGAAGGGAGAGATAGAGAGCCAGAAACGTCGATGAGAGAGAAACATCGACCAGCTGCCTCCTGCACACCCCCTACCGGGGATGTGCCTGCAACCAATGTACATGCCCCTGACCGGAATCGAACCCGGGACCTTTCAGTCCGCAGACCGACGCTCTACCACTGAGCCAAACCGGTTTTGGCCAGAGTTATTTTTTCAAATGGAGACATGGGCTTTGGCCGGCACAAGGACTCATAGCTAAATTTAAAAATTTTAATGAAAAGAGCACTAAGTTGTATTATCTCAAATGTTGATATCAGAAATCACTTTAACTCAAGTCTGTTCATGTTTTATCTTAGAAATAAATAGAAAGTAGTTACTGTATTTTCCATTCTGGTATTTAAATCTTTTCTTTCCAATCTTTCTTGATTTATATAAAACTATGTCTATTTGTATGAAATTAAAAAAATCCAAATAGTGTTGTAGATCAAAGCTATTTTTAAGTTCTACAGTATTGTGAAGACACTATATCTGAGCTCTAAAAATAAAAACAAAGGAGACCTTTGGGTTGACTTTGGCAGAAGTTTGGTCAAATTTGTATGGAGTGAAACACAAAAAAAGGTAAATTAATTATACCATTCATATACCAGACAGAAACTAAGTTGAAATCCAAGCGGTATGATCAGAACTGTTAAGTTATAATCTAGAGGTGGGCTTACTCATGCCAGTTTCAAAATAATTCTGTTAAACATTCTTAGTAAATGTTTAATTTGAAATAAATGATTTTACTATACCCGGGCCATTCTTTTCCATTCTGGCATTAAAACTTGACATGGATGACACCACGGAGAATAGAAATCAACCATCCAGACTTCATCATGTTTTCTTTGCTTAACTAGTTCGTTGAAAGTGGTGGGTGACAGGGAGATCACTGAAGGATTCATAAGATCCTAAAAACAATACAGCTTTCATTATAACAGATATAGAAAAAGAGTTGTTCATATATCCTTAGCAAATTGTTGGTATCAGTCATTTAAAAAAATGTTTTTGAATAATAAAAAGATACTTAAGAATATTTAAAAAGCATTTATAGTGAATTAATTTAAAAAGAAAGAAATGATCCCCGATTTTTTAAGTTTGGATTATTTCTATCAGTCTTCTTAAATTAAGGTATATTCTATTCCTATTTCTAATTACCACTAAAATAACAGACAACTTTAAGCTTATGAGATGAGGCAAGATTTTCAAGAGCTTCTCAGATGTGTACATAAGAAATAGTTCTGTTTTAGAACCAATACCTGGTTTGGAAATGGCCCTTTAATTAATAATGGAAAGCCTATTAGTCTATTTTCCTGACATTCTGACTGGAGACACTGCACACCCTCTCTACAGATCACTTGCTCCAAATGCTGTTTTAATAAAACTTTAGTCTATCATGATTGGGTAATGTTAACGAAGATGTTAGCTTCACTGGGAGAAAACTCAAAAATCAAAACAACACAAAATCAAAAACTATTATTCTAGAGAAGGAGGGAGAGAAAAGGTCAGAGAATGGTCACTACATAAATAATAGGCTAAATTTTTTCATTCTTAAGAAACCCGTTTAACTACTTTAGTCAATTAATATTATTACTGGGGAAAAAGGAGATGCTATAGATATAGGACACTTCTGTGCTGATAACGGGTGTGGCACAGCTGCCCAGGCTTGAAAGAGGCCCTCCATGGGGGTTGGCTAGACTGCCCTTACATTTCCTGGATGATACTGAGGTTACGCCTACCTCATCTATATGGATGGACCTAAAAGAAGGTGTGGTGGTTCTAGCTGAGACAACATGGAGAGGGGGTGCAAAGCTTTATGTGAAAATATAACTTCAATGTATTCAAGAAACAGTTGTGCCTACTAAGTACAAGGCACTGAACTAGATAATAAACAAAATACAGACTTATTCTTAAGAGTCTATAGTAAGTATATAAGAATAAAACATTAGAAAAATATAAGAAATTCATTTTCTTGTCAGAAAATAATGTGTTAGTATGAGAATAAATCCTGTTATTAAACATGATTAAATATTTATACAAAGAGTATACACACAAAGGATTTACAGCCATGAACTTAAAATAACTTACTTCTATATTTTATAATATTACAGAATTAACTTAAATACCTCTATGAATTCCAAGATATGTTCAGCAGAGTGATGGCCTTCATATTCATGAACATTGGACTGATTGAACACCACTGTTGTTGGATAAGCCTGAATGTTATACTGTTAAGAATGAGAAGACAAATTAGCATGGCTTTATAGATTTAACCAGTTTGTTCAAATTTATAACCAGTTTTGCTGAAACTGGTTCAGCTCAGTGGTAGAGCGTCGGTCTGCAGACTAAAAGGTCCTAGGTTCGATTCTGGTCAAGGGCATGTATGTTGGTTGCGGGCACATCCCCAGTTTCTCTCTCATCGACGTTTCTAGCTCTCTATCTCTCTCCTTTCCTCTCTGTAAAAAAATCAATAAAATTTATTTAAAAAAATTTATAACCAGTTTGCCTTTAAGTAATATGATTTAAAAGACCCATTGCTAAATTGCTGGTGACTAAAAAATTTTAGCCTAAACAAAATTTGCAAAAGAATTGGATTCGCAATTGTACTGATGAATACCTAATCCTTATTTACAGATACCGCCTACTATTATACATCCTATCTATTAAAAGGGTAAAATGCAAATTAACTGTCACTCTGTCACAAAGATGGTGGTGCCCAGTCCTCTCAGCCCTGCAGGAGTCCCTTCATTCCGGGGGGAAGGTAGCCGCTGAGAGTGGCCTGGCAGAATGCTTGCTTTGTTGCCGTGGAGGGCCTCTGTACTGTGAAGGTCCTCTGGGCAATGGGCGTGGAATGGCCAGGCCCTGCAGAAAGCTACTGGTGCACAGATTCGTGCACAGGGCTACTAGTAAGACATAAAATCCATAGGCATCAAATGCAGGGGAGTATGGATAATTATGAGCTTGGTCCCTTTTTACTCCCCTGAACTTAATTTAAATCGAACATTTTTAATGTTTGGTGCATTTCTTCTTTTGTGATATTTAAACTTCATTTGAACTTTTTAAAAAATTGATTTATTGTCTTTAAATATTCTGGACTGTAAGGCTTTGTCAATTATATGTGCAGCCTGTTCCCTTAACTTTATAGTGTCTCTTTGGTAACAGTTTTTACATTTAATGTATAATAGTCAAATTCATTCAGATTTATTGATTTTTATATTTAGTTTTAGTGTGTGGAGAAATTAGTCCTCACACAGAAGTCATAAACATTTCATCCTACATTCACTTCCATTTACCTTTTTAAAAAAGTTTTAGTTTTTATAAATTTTGATTTAAAATACAAAAACAGAACAATAAAGTCTCATGCACTCTTGGGACTACAACAATCATTTACTCAACGGCTTTTTATTTTTAATATGTTTTATTATTTAGAGAGAGGAAGGGAGAGAGAGAGACAGAAGCATTGAGAAGAGAGAAGCATTGATTGGCTGCCTTCTGCATGTCCCCTACTGGGGATCAAGGCTGAAACTTAAGCTTGTGCCCTGAACAGGAATCAAACTGTGATCTCTTGGTTCATGAGTCAACACTCAACCACTGAGCCAGCTTTATGTGAAAATATAACTTCAATGTATTCAAGAAACAGTTGTGCCTACTACTCATAGCTACTTTTATTTTCTTTATACTTCCTCCCACTCTACCCTACTCCAAGATTATTTTAAAGATAATTCCAGATGACTTATCATTTCATCCAGAAATATTTCAGTATATTAAAAACATATATTTACCAAAATATAACCACATTATCATTTTCTTATCTAAAAATTAACAATTCCTAAAAATCATTAGCTATCCTATCAGAGTTTAAATTTCCCCAGTTTGCTCTCTGTTTTTGCAGTTGGATTTGCTTAAACTGCAGCCACAGAAAGACTAAAGTTACATTTGAATGGCGTGTCTTCTAAGTCTTTAATCTTCTTCCCCTTTTATTATAATAAATGTGTCCAATAAACTGGGTCTTTGTCTTATAAAGTCCTCTACATGCTGGGATTTGCAAATTGCACACCCATGTTGTCACTTAAATCTGTCCTTCAATACATTAATAGAGCTGATGACTTCATTTAAATTTTTTCCAAGAATATTTTATAGGGGGCATTGTATACTTTCATCATGAGGTATATTAATTTCTAGTACTTTTTAGAAGTGAAAGTGAAAATTAACTTCATATCTCATTTTAATTTCCTTCTACTAGCTATCCAATTACAAGGAAAGCCAAAGAATAAAGCTATCGACTGCCAAAAGGAAATATTAAGTTAAAAAATATAAAGATCTTAATTTAAAAATCATATATTTTATCAAGTCAACTAAATATTTTTCTGAGTTTAATAAATAAGACTATATCTACACTTAACTACATATACTATATTTTAATCCATAATTTTGTTGAAGTTATTGGTTTAAACAATTACTATTCTAAATGTAGATGTATTTTTGAAAAGGTTATTTTAATATCAGATTAATTAAAAAACACTTTTAATACTTTGCCTTACCATGTTACAAAGTCCCTCATGAACTGTACAATCTAGTGTACCAAATTTTAGCTGACCATAAAGATGCTTTGATGCTTTTCGCAACTCTGGCAATAAAGCTCGACATGGTGGACACCACTACAAAAGAAAAAATATTCATAAGCACTGAGCCAAATAAAATGAACAAAAACTTACATAATTTTTTCAACAAGCAATTAAAATAAGACAAACCACACTTAGTTGCAAATCTTATGCTTGTATATACTTAATCCTTAGAGGGAAGTACTCTCTTAGTGCTCTCTTAGATACAATATGTGGTTGTAGCCAAATTGTATCCATGGTTCAAGGTTATCTAGAAAATGTCTTTTTGCTGTAACAAAAGAAAATCTGACAATATTCAATTTTGACAGATAAAAATAACTTACAGGGGCAAAGAAATCAACAAGCCATGGTTCTTTGTCATTGGCAGGAAAATTTTGAGGTCCAAGTGTGGTAACATGAGAATGAACACTTTCTTTGGCAAAGGCAAGTATATCATAGAGAATCTTCTTCCCTTTGAAATTGAGTAAGAGAAAAGTTAAAATCCATATTCTGCCTTTTATCTATAAAAACATGTTTGTATGGAAATTAATATATTAGTAAATAATACAAGAATAAACTCTGTTTCATATACTTACAGGTATAAATCTACCCACCCCTGTATTTGGAAGGGCAAGAAGGAATGATTACAATGCAGGAGGAAGAAAAATTTTATATGGAGGCACAGAGGTGTGGAAAAACACATTTTCATGGATCCACAAGTAGCTGGAGCTACACTTATTTGGAAGGGTAAAGATGAGGCTGAAAGCCATCAGAGGCAGATTGTGAATGTATACTGTTAATTTAACAACTATATACTGAGTTCCTACTATATACCAGACACCATTCTTGGTGCTGAAAATAGAGTGGTGAGCAAAACAGACAAAGTCATTGCTCCTATGCTAAGAAATCTGAACTTTATTTTAAAAGAAATCAGCAGTCAAGGCAGAAAAGTGAATGAGAATGTTTTAGATATTCTAGGGTCATGGTCAGCAAACTGTGACTCGCGAACCACATGCAGCTCTTTGGCCCCTTGAGTGTGGCTCTTCTACAAAATACCATGGCCTGGGTGAGTCTATTATGAAGAAGTGGCGTTAGAAGAAGTTTAAGGTTAAAAAATTTGGCTCTCAAAAGAAATTTCAACATTGCCAACCACTATTTTAGGGCAATAAATGGAAATAAAACCAATAACCAACAATAAAGAAGAAAGGCTATGAAATGGAAAACTATCAGAGGATGATATAGTACATGATGGATCTGTGCTGGAGTTCTTTTCCCAGCCTTACAAAGGGTTCAGCATTCTGGAGAAATGGGCTACACGCAGATGATTAAGGATGAAAGATAGTTTTGAAAGGCACTGGGGGTCAAAGGAGCTTCAGCTAAAAGGAACTGAAGACTCTTACCTTGACAAAGGACTGGTGCTTTTATTCTAACACAATTTGTCCCAAGGCAAGGTGGAAATATACACTTCAAAGGGTAAGTTATCAAAGGATACAGAAGCATTATCAGTTTGGGGAATAGCCTACAGCTGTTCAGGAGCAATAAAATGCCCTGAGCTATCTGGCAGCTAACAATAATCCTATTCAGGTTTGGGGGAAGTGCCTTAGCCTTTTCCAACAGGTAAATTACATATGTGGCTCACCCTTGTTGAGCCCCCCAAGTCCCATCAACCTTTTGACGGAACTCTTGTAATTATTACAAGCTGGAGTTGGTTCTCCAGCAGATCTGAAATAAGGCAGCAAGCACAGAAATGAAGAGGAGTCAGAAATATTTCAGAGGTAAAAAAAAGAACAGAACTCCATTATTAAAACCTGGTCATTTCTAGCACTTTAAGGAAGTAGCATTTAGTGAACTATAAGCCTAGGCTTTGGAGACAATTGTATTTGGATACAAAATCTACTTGACCAATTATTAGTTTTTGTCATGGGCAAAGTTACTTAGCCTTTCTGAGCCTCAATTTTCTCCCTTGCAGGACTGTTGTGAAGATAAAAAATGGAAATACGAAAGTATGCAAAACCTTTAGAAAAATGTTTGCCACCGAAAAAGTACAGAACAAACAGTTGTTCCTACTGGTTACCTTGCCAAGCAAGCCTTTGTTCACACAGTTCCTATGGCCTAAAGGGACTCACTTCTCATTCTTCTGTATTTGCTTTAGGAAATTGAGCATTCAAATGTCACCTGAATTCAAATATCACCTCTTAACTTATATTAATACTATGCAAAAATCTCTTTGATTTTATTAATTTATACATAATGACTATTACATTGGTTTTCATATTTGCTTATAGATCTTTCTTCTCACTTGTACTAGAGATTTTAAGCTTCTTGACAGTCAAGTCCATGTCTTACAACTTTGCATTCCTAACACCTAACACAGGCACAATGTTAGTATCTGTTATTCACGGTGATAATTAGTAGTTTGCTTGCCTCTTGCTACATTTCACCTTTTCAGGAGAGAGATTGTGATGCATCCCAAACCCTAGGAACTGGAACTTTGCTTACATGAATGTAGAGCTGCAGTCCCAAACAAGCTGTAATGTAGAAATGTGATTATAAATTCAAGGAAGATGACAAAGCAGTCAATGGAGACGCTTGGTAGTCTAGTGGAGGAAACATCTAAAAGAATGTCTGAAAATTACTCTTAATGGTTGAGATGCTACATTTGGTAAACTAAATGAACACTATAGATGCTACTTTGGTCAACAAGCAAGATCCTTAAATTCCTCCCTAGCCTAACCTGTCACAACAGTTCTTGCTGAAACACTGATCAACAGTCAAGAGTATAAAATAACTAAACATAGTTAAAAATGTCTTTCCTCACAAGAAACAAATTTATTTATACATGTGTCCATATAATGCAAGGTAAAAAATAAAATTAAAAATTATAGTCAAACCTTGTTTCATTGGGCTTTGCTTTATTGCATATCACAGATGTTGTGTTTTAAAAGTATATTAATTTATAGATTTCAGAGAAAAGAGAGATAGAAACATTAATGATGAGAATCATCGATTGGCTGCCTCTTGTACGCCCCACACTGGGGATTTGAGGCCACAACCCAGGCATGTGCCCTGACCGAGAATCAAATCGTGACCTCCTGGATCATCGGTCTATGCTCAACCACTGAGCCATGCTGGCCAGGCACAGATGTTGCATTTTTACAAAATGAAGGCAAGAACCTCACCAATCAAAAAAGTTTCGATTTTTTTATTTTTTATTGTGGTGATGGGGAACCCAACCCACAATATTTCTGAAGTATATCTGTACTATTTGAAAATGAGGATACATTTTTATCATTTTTTTATCCTTACCATGATGAATTTCATATTCTTTGGTTCCTCGTCCTTTAAATACTGCTAGACATGGTTGAAAAACATAGAGATTGCTACAGATATCTGGTGCAGAGGAACAGTCAAACTTGCCAATCTAAAGCAGAAAGAGAAAGTTTAATTAGATGAAAATGAAATCTTATCCAATCAAACATTCATAAGGGTAATCACAAAATGACACTGCTTTAACAACAGTTTCTAAACAGAAGTTAATAAGCTATAAATAAGATAAAAATAATTAATTTACATTTAACACTAAAACACACACACACACAAAAGCTCCCAGAAAGTTAACAAACCTGACAAGAAATTTCCAAGATAATATAGGGTTGTTTAAGAAAGCCACCCTTCTAAAAATGTAGAGAATATTTAGATAATCTTGAGGTGAGGAGAAAGAAACCTTTTCATGTGAGACCCCAGAAGCAGATAATAAAGAAAAAGGCTGACATTTTCATACATTGTGGAAAAAAACCAGTTATTTAAAATATAACTTCATGTATTAAATTAATAAGAAAACATAGTAGCAGAAAGCTGGGCAGAATACATTTTTCTTACTTGAATATGTTCGTTTTTAAGTAGAGTCTTTAGTTTCTTCAACTCAGGATCATTTGAATTTCCATTTTTTCCAAAATGAAAAAATAAGAGCCATCGATGATGAGCCAAACGATCCTTAAAAGTAATTTAAAAAGTTAAAAAGAAATGTGAGACAGGAAGGAAATAATATTTCTGAGTTCTAATATTTTTTTATTCTCTTATAGTTAATTTTAATAATCCTAACTATTACTTCAAAATAATGTAAAAAATTCAGGCATATCCATATTTTATTTTGTAGTTTATTTGGGATAATGCCATGTAAATCAATTATATAAGATTACAGAAGGATAAAAGTCACTACATTTTAAAATGTTAAAGTAGACAATTGATTCTACTGTAAGTATTTCTGAAGCTGCTTCTTAATTACTCACTGAATAATATAAATAGTTCTGTAAGCAAGAACATAAAGTTTCAAATCAGATCCAAAGTGGCTTTGTGATCAAAATCTTGCTTTTCTGACATTCCTGAAGCCCTTTAGGACTGGCTAAGTTTTACAAAACTACAGATCCTCCCTGAGCCACCAGCAGCCCTAGCAACTGGAGTTTCACCTAAAATTGACTGATATATAAACCTTTGAAACGACTACGTACTTTCTCTCTAGTGATGAATAAATCAAATGTTGGCTAAACTATTAAGACTTGAAATGTTAGCAATGTTATTTATCATTATAAAAATATTACCTCTAGTGTGTCTGCCGAAAGTAGTTCAAAATCTGGAAGATTATGCATTATTTCCAAATATATTTCTTTAGCATCCAATGAATTAAGAAACTAGAATAAGAGAATCATATTGTAATTTTTTTTAAGTCAACATCCATTTACTTTAGTGTCTTTTTTGTTGTTGTTTCCACAGAAGAACTTTTAAGGAAAAAAGTCACAGAAGTTAAATAGTTTTCAAGCTGTTTATTCTAAATGTTATCTTTAAAAAAAAGTATTATAGTTTGGCAATTATTAAAAATTATATAACTGGGTGTTTAAAAAAAAAAAGTTATGTAAGACAAATTTCATTATTAGGTGTTTTGTTGCCTGGAATTGCCTATTAACTGTTCTGTGTGTTCTACAATAATCCCCACCACACCCTGGAGTAACTGCATCATGAGGAAAGTGCTATCTTATGTTCAGTTCAATGTTAATGCTAACCATGTTTCATACAGAATGCCAATGCTTTACCCATTATTTAAGAATTGTTAAAACACTATAGAGTATTTGATGATCCATGACACTTCATACCCCAATCAATAATCAATAGGAATTAAGATAGAACTTATAACTAGAAAATGAAAAGGCACACTAAAGAGATTTTTAGAAATAATGTTCAAAAAACCAAACTACCTATGAGTTTTGCAGAGTAAACTATACTGATAAAGATCTTATTTTAAATGTGTTTTAGATCTAGGTCTCATTTAAAACAAACAAATAACTGAAGAAGCCACACCTCCCTTCTAACACATCTCCTTTACTTCTGCCCATTTTTCATCCTTAGCATATTTTTCTCACAGAACTATCTGGTGGTCTAATTCTCAATGAAGCAGCTGTTACTATAATAAAGAATGCAGCAGTAGAATGCAGTCTGGAGTGGAGGGCAGAGACCTAGGCCACAGATAAAACCGAAGAGTAGTCAGCACCAAGTCCTAATTGTAAGCACACCTAAGCAGAGATCTGGAAGGACAGTCACCAAAATTTGAAGGTACTGGTCTATTGATAATTTGGTTTCAGTGAATTTTACATCTTTTTAAAACATTTCTTTACTATATATAAATTTCTGTAATGAATATGTCTGTTTATCAACATCAAAAAAAGAATTTACAGGAAAGAAAATTAAGGAAGTTAATTTTTTATTTGAGTCTTTTCTTTTGGAGTTTCTTAGAAACCTGTCTGATATCTCATTATTTATATCTCAACTCCTTGATAACTAGCTTGACCCTTAATTTCTTCATTCTTAAAATGAGGGAGGTGAACCATACCAGTAGATCTCCGCACTGAGTTTATACCAGAATCTAACAGGGTGCTTAAAAAAATAAATACTGGGCTCCAGCCAAACTGACCAATGATCTGTATTTTAACATCAGAAAATATATAAATAAATGGAAACTAAGGAAAATTCATTTAACCTAAGAATGTATTCCATACCTTTGGGGTTTGAAAATATAATAGTTTATATCAGTTAAAAATAATTCTTATAACAGACTTTATAAATGGAAGAATGTATTAAACAGAATCCCAGAAATTAAATTTGTTCTAGATTATTAAACGTTCCAAATTCAGATGATATAAACTGATTCATTTTCTTATTCTTTAATTACAAACAACATATTTAAGTGTGTGCATTCAAAGAAATGAAAATGAGTCATACCAAAACATTGCTTTTCTCTTTGTCATTTAAAGTGGCTCCAGGAGGAAAATAGGCGGTAGAACTTGTTGTTATATCCAAACTTGTACAAAGGTTGGCCTGGGTGGCACAGTCCATCCATCCTACATTAACAAGACCATCCTAAAATAGAAAGAAAAAATAATAAAAACAAAGGCCAAATGGAAGACCAAGTTTCCCCACAAAGGGAGCTTCAACAACAAAGTATCAAAAACAAAGACTACTTACCCAAACATTGTATGATGAGAGCTAACTAAATAACAAAATCACAAACAAAACAATAAAGTTTGGAAATGATAAAAACACTGATATATAACTCTGGTTAAAAAGGACTTCATAATTAAAGAATACTTAGTAGTGAATGACAATGAAAGCACCACATGCCAAAATTACTGAAAACAGTTCATTATTAGAAACCTTCAACTATGACTACATTTATCAGAAAATAAGAAAGGGTACAAATATGCAAGTTAAATGTTCAAAAAACTACCAAAGACAATATCTAGAATCCATTTTTAAATGTGTGTGTGTGGTGTGTTTTTATTTTTTTGACATGGCTATATGCTAGTAGTCTTACAAAATAATTCATGCTTACCAACATGCCACTAAGCCTGAGACGTGTCTGTGAAGTCAAACAATCTGGAAGGAAAAAGATAGCTCTTTTGAGTGTATACCTCCACTGCCTTTTTACAAAGCTTTCAGGCTGATTCTAAGGCAGTTATTTGAGCTCTATTGGTGAATACTGAAATCTTTATTCACTAGATAACTACTGTGGTCAAAGTTCCATTCTACATACACGTTACCACTCTCGCTTACTCATTCTTTTATTCCCCTTAGATTCCTAGGATTTCCAGCTAAAGAGAAAAGGGGTAATTTTCTCTCAAGCATTTCTTTAGGATCTTACTCTCAAATTTCTCTGATCAATAATCCCCTTTACCTTAGATATCTCACAATTGTGGAGAAATAACATGTAATAAACTTTTTTTCCATAAAAATTATGTAAAAAAATCCTTAAAATAAAATAGCCTCTTCATTATTTTTATAAAAGTTCTGTAAATATAAATACTAACACTAAATGAGATAACTTTGAAGGGAGCCTGTAGCATCACAGAGCCTACAGAAATATGTAGAATCTCTAATTTTAAAGAGTTTTTTTCATGTGTAAATAAATGGACAAAAATTTGTGCATTAGGCCAAAATGAATAAACTCCTCAAGGATGGACTAAATTTATGGGTGATTTTATTTTCAAGGCAATACCTCCTTAACATGGCAGCATAAAGACTATGAGATTAAGTTTCAGGAAAAGATTCATGTTGGGATTAAACATATGAAAAAATATTAATGAATTAGAGGATTCCGAGAATCCAAGATGGCTGCTCGGGTAGGCACCTAGCCGAGCTGCACACAACAATTTCAACAAAATACAACTAAAATATAAAATGGACATCACCCAGAACTACAGGAAAGTTGACTGACTGGAAATTCTACAACGAGAAGCAAGGAGAAAACCAGAAGGAAGCGCGGAGGAGCTGGGAAAGCCTAAGGTACGGAGACACGCGGTGCGCGGAGAGGACGGAGCCGGAGAGGAGGGAGGCGGAGTGCCTGGCGGGCGTTCCCTGGCGGGAAGGAGATAAACGCTCCGAATGTGCTGGCCCCCATTCTGACTGCTCTGAACCCCAGGCCTAGGCCAGACCCCGAGGACCCAGGCTCACACAGAGGGAGCCGGGCTGAAAGGCTGAACCCCGGGGAAGAGGCGAAAGGAGGTCCCGGCAGCGGCGGCGCCGCGCAGAGAAGGGCCGGCCGGCTGTGCCGCGGGATTGCCTGGCGGGAAGGAGACAGGGGCGCCAGACTGCTCTGAACGCCACCTCCAACTCCACTTCCAACTGAACTGAACCCCAGTTTCGGGACCATTGGGGGAGAGACTAGACTGTTTGGTAGCAGGCGAAAATCAAGGGCGCCTTTCTCTCAGAGGCGCTTACAACAAGTACTGAAGGACCCTGAGTCTCAGGAGTCGCATAGGGCGGGGCTGACGGAAGCCAAAGCTGTAGGCTCCACCCTGGAACCCCGCCCCATCAGGAAAGCTGCCTGCGAAAATGCCTAAACCAAATAGATCACAAACGAAAGAAATGGAGGACAAAAAGCGACTGGATATAGAGTTCAAAACCACACTTATAAGGTTTTTCAAGAGTTTCCTAGAAAAGGCCGATAAAATAAATGAGACTTATGAGGATATGAAAAGGGATCAACAAGAAATGAAGAATACATTGTCTGAAATAAAAACTATTATACAGAGTCCTAAAAACAGAATAGAAGATCGCAAGAATCAAGTCAAAGATTTGGAACATAAAGAGCCAGAAGATACTCCTCCGCAGAAGCTAGAAGGCAAGAGAATCCAGAAAATTGAGAATCAAGTCAAAGATTTGGAACATAAAGAGCCAGAAGATACTCCTCTGCAGTCGCTAGAAGGCAAGAGAATCCAGAAAATTGAAGATGATGTAAGAAACCTCTGGGACAACTTCAAACGATCCAACATCAGAATTATGGGGGTCCCAGAAGATGAGAGAGAGCAAGATATCGAAAACATATTGAAAGAAATAGTGACAGAAAACTTCCCCCACCTGGGGAAAGAATTGGACTTACAAGTCCAGGAAGCACACAGAACTCCAAATAAAAGGAATCCAAAGAGGACCACACCAAGACAAATCATAATTAAAATTCCAAGAGCAAAAGACAAAGAGAGAATATTAAAAGCAGCAAGAGCTAGGCAGATAGTTACCTATAAAGGAGCACCTATACGATTGTCAGCTGATTTCTCAACAGAAACCATGCAGGCCAGACGGGAATGGCAAGAAATATTCAAGGTGATGAATAGTAAGAACCTACAGCCAAAGATAATCTATCCAGCAAAGCTATCACTCAAATTCGAAGGTCAGATAAAGAGCTTCACTAATAAAAAAAAGCTAAAGGAGTTCATCACCACCAAACCAGAATTATATGAATTGCTGAAGGGGGTTCTTTCAGAAGAGAAAGTAAATAAAGATAAAAATTATGAACAACAAATACGTAACTATCAACAAGTGAATCTAAAAACCAAGGAAATTAAAAAAAAAATCTGATGAACAATATTAACTGTTGAATATAATAGAATCAGAGGTATGGAAGGGGAGTGAACTGATGATTCTTGGGGAAAAGGGGAGAAGGGGATGTGGGAAGAGACTGAACATAAACTGTGCACCTATGGATGAGGACAATGGGGGGTGGGGAAAGGGCAGAGGGTGGGGTGGGAAGGGACATTTGTATTAATATGAACAATAAAAATTAAAAAATATAAAAAAAAAAAAAAAAAAAAAAAAAAAAAAAAGAATTAGAGGATTCCTTTTCTTTTAAAATATTTTTATTGATTCCAGAGAGAAAGGGAGAGGGAGAAAGAGACAGAAACATCAATGACGAGAGATGGATTGCTGCATCCTGTATATCCCCTACTGGGGACGGAGCCAGCAACCTGAGCATGTGGCCTGACCTGGAACCAAACTGTGACCTCCTAGTTCATAGGTCAACACTCAACCACTGAGCCATGCCAGGGGCTGAATTAGAATATTTTGTAATACTGGGACCAATTTTTAACCAATCAAATTGCTTAAATACATTTAAAGTTTGTGGTTTGACAGGTAGGGTATTTTCACCTTAATCTACAGAGGGAAAGGTTCCTGTAAATAGAAAATTGTCATCTTCAAAAATATAAGGTAAACATGTACACATATTTATATGTATAAGTATGAGGCAAAGTCAATAATTCCAAAAATTATTATTTTGAGAGGACTGTATCTGTAAATGACTATTTTTGCAAACTGATAAATATGTACATCTGTGACTATCTGAGCATACCATTTACTGTGAATATAATTAGGCTGAAAATTTGCCCACTGAATAGAAACCATAAACAATATTTTAAAAACCATTTATGTGTAAAATAGAAATAAAAATATTTCTTAAGTAAAAAATTATAACCTTGTATATAAATTGTAGTTTGAAGCGAACAATCAATAATAGTAGCATACTCAAGATAATCACTTAGTCTAAGGGTACATACTTCCAGTTATAAGATTAGCAAGTCTTGAGGATCTAATGTACAACATATAGTGATTATAGCTAACAATAGTTTACTATATGCTTAAAAGTTGCTAAGAGAGTACATCTTAAATGTTCTCACCACAGAGAAGAAATGGCAATTATTTAACAAGATGGAGATGGTAGCTAATGCTATAGTGGTAATCATTTTGTTAAATGTATCAAATCAACATGTTGAACAACTTCAAGTTACACAATGCTATTTAATTATATCTTAATAAAGCTGAAAAAGTAAAAAAAAGATTGTCATTTAAAAATTATATGTCACAGTCTCTTTATAACAAAATAATGAATAAATTACCTCCTCCTTCGGAACAAAACGTTATCAGCCAGCCAATACCAGAGGCAAAAGCAGTTTGTATGGCATTAACAAAATTTCCTTAAAAGAAAATAAAACAAATTTCTGATCACTTTTACTTGATAATGAAAAGTTTTCTAAATATTTTCCCTATCCTAATTTCACCCTCTTCCAATCCATTCTGAGTAGAGAGGATTTTCTAAATCCTTGAGTTTGTAAAATTCATTCACCAGCGCTCCATTTTTTCCCCATCACATAAAATGTAAATTCAATATTTCATCAGGAAGCCCTTCAGCCAGCCATATTCCTTCCCATGCCACTACTGCATTACACATCCTCCTGTTAGTCATGAAATACTGCCAGTTCCCCAAATTTTGCTGCAGTTACTGAATGTAAAGACCATTGGAAAACAAATATATTTACATTACAATTCATTAACAGTAGCAAAATTATAGTTACGAAGTAGCAATGAAATAATTTTATGGTTGGAGGTCACCACAACATGAGGAACTGTATTAAAGTGTTGCGGCATTAGAAAGATTGAGAACCGCTGCTCTAGCCCCACCCATATCTTAATTGCTTTAGTTTCTGTACACATACAATTCACTTGTTAAATGCCTACTATTTAGTAGTGGTCAGAACAAAAGACACAATTCCCTTCTAAAAGCATCAAAAAAGTATTTTAAAATTTTAATATCATGACCAAAATATTAATACTGTCGCTGAAAAACTTAAAAATATAAATTTCAAAGTAGCCTTAAAAATCAAGCAAATTAAGAAAATAAAATTACCTGCCCACAGTTCTGTCACAGTACTTCTGACATACTGCATGGCAAAGCTCACTAAACTGTCCTTTGATCTGTCACCATGGTATTTCACTGCAGCCTATTGGTTTTTTAATAAAAAGAGAAACATGCTTTACTTTTTCTTTTAAAAACACCACTAAAAAGAATACTTTTGATTCTACATTATTTTAAAAAATACAGTAAGATGTCTCTTAATGTACAACGTATTTCCAACTGATATGCTGAAAATCTTGATTGTATAGAATTCAAGGAAGACATTTTTAATATTATTTATAATGATTTTTGTTTCAGTTTTATCACTAAAACTGGGGGGGAAAAGGACATCAGAATTTTATATTCAATGAGACAATACCTGAAAATACTTTGTAAACTATAAAGTAGAATATGCATATTGGTTATAATATGTTCTTTAAGAAAGAAACAGAAATTGGCAAACATTTAATTTTGAAAGTCATCATTTGACCATTGAATGATGTGGACTGAAATGCCCAGGTTCACTTATACTTGGAATTTTTCAAATGGCCCATTCAGTTTTTAACTGTCTGATGTTCAAACTACTGTGAAGGGTCAACTGGAGATTGGGAATTTGTGCATGCAGAGCGCTCACTTGAGTTACACACATTTTAAAAAAAATTGTTTTTGTTTTATTGATATCAGAGAGGAAGGGAAAAGGAGAGAGAAACATCAATGATGAGAATCATTGACCAGCTGCCACCTGCACATCTCCTACTGGGGATGGGCATGTGCCCTAACCAGGAATCAAACCATGACCTGTGGTTCAAAGGTCGACACTCAACCACCGAGTCACACCAGTCAGGCTACGCATTTTTTTATATTAATAGGTGCCACTAACCTCTATGTTATTATTCCAAGTCAACTGTAATGGTATCTAAAAGTATTTGTAATACTCAAAATGTTCATTATGACTAGAGATGGGTTAGTATCTAAAATAAAACTTAAATATCAAAGCATTCTATAAATTCTCATACTGTACTTTCTCTAGTATTTTCCTTATCATAAAGTTCCCCAAGTTTTAAAAAATGCTAACTTTATCCCTTACCATTCCAGACCTAAATATGAAGAGGCTGGGATAACTGTTCACTCCTTTCATTCGGCAGAGCATTCTATCATCGCCACAGTTAACTGCTCCAATTCGAAGTAACCCATCCACTTCTTTAGCAAAGTCTCTCCACTACAAGAAAAAAGGAAACATAAGTATTTCTCTGGACACTTCTCTTGAGCATTCTTCAAGCTATAAATACTTAACAGACTATTTTTAGCAAATAAAACCACAAATATGTGAACATACATAATCACTACTGATAGATAAAATTGCTATTAATAGGAAAATTCCAATATATTAAAAAACTCAAGTAACAGATCAATTAGAAATAGTAAAACTTTAGTAATCAGGATGTAAAAAATATATACCGTAGGAGCTAAGTCATGGCAGTGTGAACAGCCTGCGGAGTAGAAGTTCACAAACCACAGCTCTCCAGAATTAACAGCAGCATCTGAAAGTACATGAAACCAAAACAACTTAGAACTAGTCACTGAGGTTTGTGCATAGTTTGGTTAAAAAATTTTTGTTGAGATCAGAAAGTCATACATCTTTCATACTGCCTTCACCAATAACTTTCTGTACAATTTTTTTCTATAAGAAAATGTACTTCAACTGTCAAATAATACCTTTTTAAAGAAACTCTTCAAAGCCTCGAACTGCTTGATACCATCTCACCATGAAGCTGTAAAAAGAAAGGAAGCAACACCCAAAGCTCATGGATGAGAGAAATGAAGAAAACAGTAAGAGAATGAACTTAGTTTTAAGCTCTTTTCCTATCTGCAGCATAAGGTAAACATGGAGCCAATCAATTCTGACAGTTATTTCAAATTCTGAAAGAATGGAATAAGAGGTCTATTTGATGTAGTAAGGACTCTGGGATTCAATTTAATCTTTGCCTTCAAACATTTCCCTTGAAAAACTGCCATTTGAAAAGTATCAAGATTTTTAACAATTCAAAAAAAATACTTATTTTGTAAAATAATAGATCTGCACACCACATAATGTCTAGCCAACAATATATTATACATTATAATCTACTAGGAGCCCAGCACGTGATTGGAAATAGCTCAGCAGCACCCATCCTCGAATCGCTGGTCCAGCCCTGTCTCCCTCCCCAGGCTCTGCCTCCCTCTCCAGCCCCTGAAGCAGCAGTGGCCTCTGCGGATCAGGACCTCCCCAGTGCAGGCAGGCAGAGGCCCCTGCCACCCTGCCACCCTGCCCCTGACATTGCGTGTACAACCTCCTCCTGTTCGGTCAACCCATTACAGCATCCCAGTTAATTAGCATATTTTCTATTTTTCATATATATAGTAATTTTATGTAAGTCAACATTTATTCATCTAAAATTTTTAACAATATAACATTTAAGATAAAAAGGTGAAGACAATTTGCTTTTGTCTAATGTTTTCATATAATTCCACATCAAAATCAGTGAATTTTTAAATAAAGTTTCATAGTTATATGAAGTATATTTAGACATCAAAACATGCATACTATTGTGTAACTGATTTAGGTTAATTAGTAAAATGTGCAGGACTCAATATTTACCTACATTTCAATTATAAGACACAAAAACCTATGTGAAGAACAGTTAACCCATACATTATAGACAAGGTGTATAATTTAGAATTTTATCAGTTGTTCTTTGGCCTTTTGCATGATTTGTTTTACACTGCATATACAATTTTGTTTTAGGCTCTTTTTCACTTAACATAATCTAAAATGTTGTAAAAATATTTTAATAATATAAAAAATAATGATGTAGAATAAAATTATCTTGGTTCATTATAATTTCAAATGTGTCAATCATACACAAACACACATGCATAGAGGTTTCAATTCATATGATGCTGTAAAATGTGAGGAGTAATTGTAGCTATTGCACAGTGAAGTCATTAAAGTTCATTAAGACAATGGAAGGAAAGTTGATAACTGTATACCCATAAACTTACCAAATTCTCTTCTCTCCAATGTTATGATTTCAGGATCATCATCATAAATACCTAATTTTAAAAGTACATAAAAATTATAAAATTAAAACATCATAAAAGTAAATTGCCACACTTAAAATAGGTTACTTACTCTTGTTTTAATCATCAAAAACCAGATTACTAAACCTCAAAGTGGAAAAATATGCAACAAATTGAGAGACCAAGAGTACACAAAACCGCTGGTGATACCTTTAACGAGTTTCTGATTTGGATTGTCATAGGTGTGTGTGTTTGTTGGGTTCCCAATATTCACAAAATTTTATCTTCACTGCAAATTCCTATTATTTTTAAAAAACTTTTTCTTTTAAAATAGTTGTACAGACTCTCATTTATCTTTTTCCCAAGCTTCCCCTAGTTGACATGTTATATAGTTTTAGAACAATATCCAAACCAGGAAATTGGCACTGGTACATTACTGTTAACTAGACTACAGACCTCATTTATTTTTCAATTATATGTTTTTAATAAGTGGCATCATTTAAAATTATATTCTATGGCTGAAAGTTTTATAATTAAAATATTTACAGAGGTAGAGACAAACTTATTAAGTAAATATAAATTTTTATTTACAATAATAAAAACCAATGCAATAAAATTTCTATTATGAAACATCCAAATAATATTAGTGATGGATATAGACCAAGGGTCAGCAAACTTTTTTTATAGAGGCCAGTTGGTAACTATTTCAGGCTTTGTGGGAAACATAATTTCTGTAATGACTACTCAATCCTGCACCTGAAGTGTGAAAGCAGCCATAGATAACACGTAAATAAATGAATCTAACTGTTTGGGCATAACTCAGAAATACCGTGGTTTGGTTCCAGACCACAATAAAGGCAGGATCAAAGACGGGTGTAATCTTTTTGCTGGTGGAGGGTCTTGCCTTTAATTTGTAAAAAAAAAACAAACGCAAGACCTGTGAATCCCAATGAGATGAGGTATGCCTGTACTCAATAAAACTTTACAAAAATAGGTGGCAGGCTAGATTTAGACTGTGAAATGTAAATTGCTGACACCTGAAATAGGCTATCATGCTGTAGTGATATACCTGAAAATAATACTTTGAAAAGAAAGTTAGTCTTAAGAAACATATATAATAGCTACAAATTGAAAATAGTCTTTAGTTGAATATAAAGGCATACTTCAATTCTTAGCCTACATTTGAGATTAGATTTAAGAGAAATATTAGGTACTTGAAAGTTCCCTCTTGCCTTGATACCTGCTTATTCTCACTTTCCTTTGATTTTTAAAAAATACACACACACACACACACACACACACACACACACACACACACACACATATTTTATTTCAGAGAGGAATGGAGAGGGAGAGAGAGAAACATCAATGATGAGAGAGTCACTGATTGGTTGCTTCCTACACAGGATTGAACCCACAACCTGGCATGTACCCTGTGGGGAAATCAAACCGTGACTCCCTGGTTCATAGGTCGACACTCAACCACTGAGCCACGCCAGCTGGGCTTTCCCTTGATTTTTTAAACTTGTTTACCATCTCTGCTCTTGTCTCATTTCTTATTCATGTCAACACTGTACAACATTAAAGATGACATTTCTACTGAAGTGACTACTATTAAACTTAAAAGAAACTAGCTTTTCTTGGAAAATATGATGCTTGTTCTAAAAATCTTGAAAAGCTTCAATATTTAACTTCTAATATAAGTATTTTTAAATTAAAGAGCAAACCTTATTTTACAAATATTTAACAAGATTATGATCCAAATATCTTCATATTTGTTCAGATAACAGCTATCACCTGATTTTTCTTTTGAATTACACTCCTGTTACATTAAAAAGAGTCAAGGCAAAACGTATTAACTACGTAAGCTAAGTGATGAAACAAAATTAATTTTCTAAATTTATCCAAATAAAAAACAATCATTTCATAAGGTATATTATCTTACCAAAATCATAACGATAAAAATTCCAGCTTTCATACTGGCCTCCTTCTTGATTATCTGCAAGTCCCTTTTCTCCATATTTGTCATACTTTTTCCGCAGATCTTCATCTTTGAGTACTTCATACGCTCTATTTATTTTTAAAAAATCACTATGTGCATTTGGGTTATTCTATTAAAAAACATTAGATATAACACTTATTTCAGATATATAATCAAGTATCTTCAGAATCTATATCTAAATTTAATTTAATCCCAAGGTTTTTGGGAGAACAGATATTCAAATAAGGAGTACAATATGAAATGGGTTATCATGGGTGGAAATAAAGAAGGATTTTTAAAGAATGTAAATCTTTTTTTTTAAAAAAAATATATATTTTATTGATTTTTTACAGAGAGGAAGGGAGAGGGACAGAAAGTTAGAAACAATGATGAGAGAGGAACATTGATCAGCTGCCTTCTGCACACCCCCAACTGGGGATGTGCCTGCAACCAAGGTACATGCCCTTGACTGGAATCGAACCCGGGACCCTTGAGTCCGCAGGCCAACGCTCTATCCATTGAGCCAAACCAATTTCGGCAAGAATGTGAATCTTAAAAGTATAAGAAAAATGAGAACTGATGCCTCAAAAGTCTGATAGATGTGATTATACAATGTAAGTCATTACTTCCAAGAAATGCAACTGAGAAAAGGCCAACTTATGAACCCTTGAAAATCCTTTGTATTGTTAGGTATTATCTGTTGCCCCTAACACAATTACAAAGAAATTTATAGGTTATTTTGCCATTTGAGGCAAAACTAATATATTAACTAAATAAAAAGTATGTGCCCCAATTCATCAGATAATTACTAGTAAGTAAAAACTAGTATCAGAGTAACAATTTAAAACTGGATTGGAAATAGTCCTTATTTGTTACTGGTTCAATAATTAGTTTTTGAAGAATGCTTTCATCCAAATAATACTTACTTGTAGATCAACCATTTTTCATATGGAAATAAACAAAAAAAAAATCGCATTCTGAAATTTCTAAGAAAAATAAAAATCCTATAAATAGAATACAGTCCAACCAGTAGAGCTCAGTGGATTTAGCATTGGCCTACTCTCCAGGAAGTCACCAGTCTGACTCCCTTGTCAAGGCACAGACCAGGATTGGATTTCAGGCTGATCCCCAGCAGAGGGTATACAGGAAGCAGCTGATAAGATGTTTCTCTCCATCTCCCTTTCTCTCTATCTAAAAATCAATAAAAACATGTTAAAATAGCAGAATACAGATTCTGGGGAAAGATTACCAAGTAATGAGAGTTTTAGAAAAAATACTGATTCTAGTGCTCAGCTTAATGCTATCAAAAAATAATCCTTTAAAAAATTCTATCTAGAAAATAGAAAATTAGAACCCCTCTCTCTCCTTGATGAGTATCAAATCTCAACAAAATTAATTAGGTGAATTATAGACATATAAGAATTAAAGTTAATTCAGTTTTGAAAGATTACATTATGGGACACATAAGCAAATATTTATTATTAGAATTAACTGGAATTGGCTGTTCTCAAGTTTTACTTAAAATACTTCCTGACTCTGGCCTTAAACTTGTGCATGGGAGAAAATAGTGAAATAGTAACAGCATGCTATTAATAGCATGCCATTTTTACCAAGACATACTCTCTAACTTCTAAGAAAATAAATTTTTTTTACTGTTTTAAAATACTTGATCTTACCCTACTTTACTAAGAAAACTACTTCGCAGACACTGTCTGCTTTGGAATTAACATCTATAATAGAACTGTTGGAAATTTAGTTTTCAAATTAAGAGGTAATTGCACTTTTGGTACTGACATGCCTTTATATTGTTCTAAACACTTTTGCTTATTATGTTTTTAATATATAAGTTGAATTACAACTTTTAACATGTGATTGTTCTTAAGCATTTTGAGCACGTATGATTTAAGTAGATATCCAAAGTTACTAATATACATTAATGAGACTATGTTAAAAAAGAAATTTTTACCTACCGGGTTTTTATCAGGATGAAGCTTCAATGCTAACTTCTTGAAAGCTTGTCTTATTTCTCTACTGCTTGCAGTTTTGGATACTCCAAGTAAACTGTAAAAATCCTGATCTGTGTCCACTAACACAGCCATATACACTATTAGAAAGCAGAGAAGGACCCTTTTCAAGTCTCTAACCCGGTCATCTTTATTTAACCAGACTCCCATTCTTTTTCTTATACAAGTTCTGATTTAAGTGAACATTAATGTACACCGCTGGTTCCGGGTAATAGAACATGCAAGGTCGAGAACTTCTGTCCACATTACTCCACGGGTGACTCAAGGATCATAAAATTGTCTTCCAAATGTTAATCTAAAGAGAGGAAACCACGCAGTTAAAATACATTAAAAAACAACAACCCCAAACCCAGCAATAACACTACTTATTCAATAACGTGGTCAGCGATACCATCTCCATTAAATAGTGAATCAGAGGGAGTATCCCGGGATCCATTATTTTGGGGCCCCTTTTTGCTGCTTCCACATCCAGATATCCAGATTGGTGAAATCACCCAAGAGACAGCAGGCACAAAGTGAAAGCTAGTGTGTGGTTATAGCTAGCCAGAACATTTTATAAACTCAGCAATTTGTTCTGTTCAGCACCAGAATACAAGGAGGGGTAGGGGTGGAGTGGAGATGGAGGGGGGTAACCAGGGCACTGTTTCCTTCCTTCCTTCTACCCAGCTCTAGGCTTTGCCCTTTTGTAATACCACTTCCCTTTTGGCTACTTCTTCGCATCTTTAAAGCTATCCGGTTTTCATTTTAATCAGATTTCACTTGTAGGGAACAGCCTTTGGGTGGGGGAGGGGGACTGGAAAGAAGGACAGGTGCCTTCCAGCGGGTCTGTGTTTCCATATACCCCTTCTACAAAATGGTTTTTTACTGCCATGACAGACAACTTACATAGCAGGCCGTTTTCCCAGAAGGTGCTCACATGACATATAAGCAGAAACTATTTTACAAAAGTAGGAGAAGAACCACAAGCTAACAGTGTAAACTTGATTACCAAGTCTCCGTTTGGCAGAAACACAAATAAGAAAAAGAAGGGAATCAGCTATATCGACATGCTCACCTGTGTGTGTGTGGGGGGGAAATGAGGTCAGATCACATTGAAACGTGTATAAACTTTGCTTCCAGAGATCTTATCATGCTTAGAAAAAAAAAAAGCTAACTTTCTTAAGCATCCTCAGGTTCTCCCTGCATTGAATCCTAAATGTCCATGTACAGTTTTTGTCTTAACCTGTAAGTCATTCCTAACCCCTCCTTCTTCATGCCACCAAAAAGCACCCTTGTAAAATACAATGAGGTTTATTAATAAATATCCACACGGGAACACACGGAGGGAAAAGGCGGAGAACACGCTCTCCGACCCCAGCCCGGCGGGTGTGTGACCGGGCGCGGGGCGCGGGCAGGTGGCGGCGGCAGGTCCATGCCGCCCGGCAGCCCCTCTCCCCCCCCCCCCCCCCCCGACGGCAGGCGGGCAGAGGGGCAGATGGAGACAATAGGTTCCAGGGACGGTCCCCCGTGACCGGTGTGCGGAGCCTCCGCCAGAAAAGGCAGGAAGGAGCCCCAGTCACGGAAGCTAACGGGAGGACCTGGAGCAAGAAGGGGGAACGGCTGGCGGGGAGGAAGGCGGCGGAGGCAATAGTATGAGGCAGACGGGGAGCAAGAACACAGGGACCCGGCCGCCGCCGGGCAACGAGGGTTCAAATCCCGGCGCGCACGGCCGTTCCGCCCTCCCTCCCGAGCGGCCCAGCGCCGGCCCGTGCCCACCTCGGCGCTGCGGGGTCGCCTCCACAGCTGCTCCCCGTCCTCAGCCCCCTCGGCTGGTCCTCCCGGCCGGGCGCCGCGGTGCTGGGCGTGCGGGAGGGAGGCGCGCCCTCGCGGACCGCCGGCCGCCGGCTCGGGACGGGGAGGATGCGCCGCGCGGGGAGCAGCGCGCAGCCACCTTCCGCCGGCTCCGCACGCCGGGCTCCGGGGCGGGGGCGGGGCCCGGCGCGGGGCACTGTGGGAAGGCGGGGACGACTCGGCCCGGGCGGACAGCCACAGGCCTGGGGCGGCGGCGGCCGGGCGGGGAGGGCGGTGTGTACTTAGGTTGACGTGGCGGTCGGCGCGGAATCCGGCTCCGGTTCTAACCCGGAGCTGAGGGACACGCTATCTAACCGCAGAGTCCACGCCTCACCCCGCACTCGCACTCGTGGGACTGGCGCTGCCTGGGGTGGGAGGGTGGGACACGCAGGCCAGCGGGGCCCGCCCCTTCCGGCGCCCGTTGCTATGGTAACAGGGAAACCCCAAGGGCCAGCTGGGATTGCTATTTCCCTGTGTTCCTGTTCTTAAAGGGAAGGCAGGGCTGCAGAGGATTGTTCTGGTGGGTGGGCAGAAGGGAAATTTTGCAAAAAAAAAAAAAAAAAAAAAAAGAAAAAGGAAAGCGTGGGCCCTGGCTGGGTTGCTCAGTTGGTTAGAGCTTTGCTCCTATACACCAAGGTTGGGGTACAATCCCGGGTCAGGGCACATGGGAGAATCAACCAATGAAAATTAACCAATGAATGCATAAATAAGTGGAACAACAAATTGATATTTCTCTCTCTCTCCTGTCCCCCCTCTTTTTCCCTCCCTTGAAAGCAGGTAGGGAATATATGTGCATTAACACTCACACACATACACAAGTTCATGTTTACATATATATGAAACTACGAGTTTACACCAAAACTTCCAATTTTAGTATAATGCCACAGGAATCATTCCAGTTTTCTCCCTTCTTCAAGTGTAGCTCCTTTCCCTGACAATGAGAAATCTGGTTCCCATTATCCTTGTTTTGTATGTACTTAACTTTCAATTCCCCCACATGTAACCAATCTCCCATTGCTAGTGCTAACCCCTTTCCTGTGCAGCTGCCTCTTCATCCTGCTTGGGTTCCCACACTTTATATTGGCTGCTCTTCACTCAGGTTCCAACCTATGTCAGGCTGCCTTCCCACGGAGACACCATGAAAAGGCTCCAACTTGCAGTCACTCACTGCCCTCCCCCCTCCTTTTACCTCTGCCAAATGTGGAAGGGCTATGATTATTTTTAAACTAGAGGCCCGGTGCACAAAATTCATGCATGAGTAGCATCACTAGGACTGGCTGGCAATCAGGGCTGATCCGGTGCCTTCTGGCTGCTGGCCATGGCCTTCCTTTGTTCCGCGCCACCCCCTGGTGGTCAATGCACGTCATAGCGAGTGATTGACCTCCTGGTCTCCCGGTCAAACTCCTGAGAGGACACTTTGCATGTTACCATATATATTGCCATTTAAGCTACTGTGGGAGGGCAGTAGCAAATATTGGAAAACTGGCTAGGAGACCAATGTAATAGACCAGGTGATAGATGATGGGCTTGGAGTAGGGTGGAGTTAGTTCATATACAGAGAAATAAACAGAAAAAATAGGTAATATGTATAGGCTCTGGTGAGAAAATGGTCATCGTGGGGAACAGAAAGATATTTGAAAGTACATTTCCACTTCAGATACTTGACATCAGGAATGTCCACTTGGTTCAGAGAAATCAAAGCCTTGCCAGCCTCAGTATAATAAATCAAAACTTACAGGGCATGAAATATGTCACAGCAAAGGGACTGCTTTATTTCAGTTTTAGTCCCAGCTGGAGAATTGCTACTCATCTGTCAAGACCCAGTTCATGTTTTTTTCTGAAAATGATTTTCTGTAAGCCATTCAAGCAGATTTGATCACACAATCTTCTATTATTGCATTTATCATTCCAGAATATAATTACAATTCATTGGTCTGTCTACTATAATGAATTCTTTGAGATTAGGAATAATTTTTTTGTTTGTTTTTTTGCTTTGCAATACTCTAAATATTTGGTGCATTAAAGACCTGCTTCAAAGCACAGTGATACAATGATACCTTATTTTCTGCGATTATAATTTGGGCCATTTCAAACAAACACATTCCTTTGAAGACTTCTGGTCAAGATGGTGATGTAGGTAAATGCGGTACTCACCTCCTCCCGCAACCACATCAAAATTAAAACTAAATTACAAAACAACCATCATTCAGAACCACCTGAAACCTTGCTGAATGGAAGTCTTACATTAGGGAATTAAGGAAGATGCCATATCAAGACATGTGTGTATTGTGTGTGTGTGTGTGTCTCTGTGTGTGTGTGTGTAGATGCAGAATGTACTGGTCCCACAGCCATGTGTGCAGATAAAAATCAGAAGGGATTTTTATCTCTCTCAGCCTCACACCGAGCCTCCCATCCAGGGTTCCAGTGCCAGGAGAAGTCCCCACAACCTCTGGCTGTGAGAATCAGTGGGATTGAGGCTGAGGAAGACAGACAGCTGCTGGAGTCCCAGCCTCTGACTCCCTCCCTCTGAGCTCCAGCACCAGGGCAGCAGCTTGAAAAGCACCAGAGGCCTATGGGGAGGAACGGAATTGTCCAGTGCTGGCAGAGGCCATTGTTTCTTTAATGAAACCTGTCCACCCTCCTACTCCCTCTCCCCCCAATCAAATTTTATTTACTTTTCCCTCAATACCTGGTTAGGGCAGTGCTTGGCATCTATCTATTCAATACACGCATGAAAAGAACTGAAGACTGAGTATTTATTATGTGCAGAGAGGAAAGAATAGTTCTTTGTTCCTAAAGTCCTTATTGTCTGGCCCCAGGGGGAAGGGTGTGGAGAACACACCCATTCACACGTACAAATAGACAGTAATACCTTGGTGAGTGATTTAAACAACATATTTCATAGGGACTCAATTTTGAGCTTAAGTGCTCAAAGGAGAATGAAGGAACATTATGGATGTTTCTAAGTAAAGAATTCCTTAACAGACTTGAGATTTTAGAACCAGGTAGGAACTTGGAAGTTCCTTAAACTCAGAGGGGTGGAAACTGGGGCCCAGGAAGGTTGATGAGTATGGTTTGCCTAAAGACAGTCAAATCTAAATGGTTGAAATGGAATATAACCCGTTTTCTGTTTTCTTAGCCAGTGTGAAGTGATAATGATAATCATAATTAGTGAAACTTACATATATTCCCAGGTATTATATCAAGCATGTTACTTACATTAACATATTTGTCATAACAACTTTATGAAGCAAGTGCACTTATCATGTCATTTTTAGAGGTGAGAAAACTGAGGCTAAGAACAGTTAACCTACTAGCCC